AGCTGCAGCATGTTCTTGAGCACTTGTTGCCTTTGGCAAATCTGGCTACCAATCAAGTTCCCAGCAAGCTTTCCCACCAAGAACAGGACAAAACTGTGCTGAGATAACATGAGACAACAATATCTTTTATCCTCATCATTCATTTCATGTCAGGATAATTCTGATTAATTTTGTTGTGTCACAGAGCTGGATAGCATCAATACTGCAGTATTATGATGTGCCACGTCAGGGGGTGGTAACCTGAAAAAAACATTTTAGCCTGGCATTGGGCAGGTACAAAAGCATGGTTTCACAAAACAGAACCACACAGCTCAAAACATAAGTCCAACATTTATGTGCACCTCTGCAATTTATAAGATGCACCCTCAAATCTCTAAATCCCTAGTATTTCCGCACTTGACTCTCCACTGGTATAAATGCCTTAAAGCCTAACATTTCTATGACTAGGCAGGCACATAAGGAGGGATAAGTCTTCACAAAGGATTCAGAGAGTAAGATTTGCTCTCAGGGCATGCTGAGTCTAAGACCATATAGACATATCCCTTTCTGTAGCACAGCTCCCATGGAACTCCTTACCACGGGACACATGCATGGGTTCAAAAAAGGACAGTGTAAACTCATGAAAGACAGATCTGTCAAGCGCTGTTGCATACAGAGGTGCCACTTCCAGCTCAGGAAGTCACCAATTGGTGTATTCAAGCATGCAGAAACTGCTCAGAGGATGTATCACCCTATATTTGCTCTGTACATGTCCTTCTCCTAGCATTCACTATTGAATCATAGAATCATAGAATATCCTGAGTTGGAAGGGACACATAAGGATCATTGAGTCCAACTCCTGGCACCACACAGGTCTACCCAAAAATTCAGACCATAAATTGACCAATGTAAGAGAGAGGATACTCAGGGAAATAGACATTGGTCTGGCACACTAAAAATTTTCTTATGTTTTTATAAGCCCACTGACAAAAGAATTGTTCTCCTTAGTGAGCTCCCACATATACCTGAGTATTCCCTATATCCACAGCCAAGCATTTAAAGCCGCTAACCCAGCAAACATAGAACATGTCCACAGGGCAGAGCTGACAGGGAACCTGTTCTTTTCCCTAAGGGCATTCATGGCTTCTATATATAAGGGAACAACTGCAGTTAAAAAGAAAGAAGATTCCACAAAGCCCCCGTGCATTATCTTGCCTGAGGTTCAGCATTCACTTCAGAGCTAGAACTAAATGCCACTGATGGAGGAGAACTATGAATCCTCGTTTCCACGTACAGATGAGTGTCCTGAACACAGGCCAGCTGTTTAATAGGAAATGTCCAACATCACTACTACTCACATTTCTGCTGGGAAGAATACCCCTAAGTATTACCTCTAAGTAATACCTCCAAGTCTCAACAGCCGGATTGCCTGTGCTTCCTACCTGTGCTTAACTGGCAACACTAACATTTAAGCTATGCAAAGCAGAATTCATTTCTCTGAATCTAGTCCGCACTGCCCCACAACCCAGAAGAGTAATCTGTAGAGGATGCAATATGTGCATCCTTCCTTCCAACGGAAAGCACTGCTGATGACTTATGGAAAGTCCCAAGCTTTCTGCAGCTATGGCCAATGCCCAAAATTAAACTGCGTGGCTTGCCTCTGCTGGCAAATGACAAGAAGAGTGGGCAGGATGAACATGTCTCTTCCCAATAGAAACCCCCAGGCAAGAACAGCCATGGTGACAGGGAGCATTTGCAGCAGACAAAATACTTCCAGACAGATGAAAACACGTTGTACTGCCAGAGTCACATCAACATTCTGATTCGGTCAGCATCATCTTATGCATGATTTAGCAATGATTTTGTATTCAGCTTTATAGTAGAAGGACTGCACAGCTCAAGGCATCCTAATTCTTTTCCTTTTTGACTGATTGTAACTTTCTTTCTTGTGGAAAACCTATGAAATTTTTTGCCTGGGTGCATATGCATCTCTACTTTTTTTTTTTTTTTTTTTTTTTTTTTTTTTTTGTGTGTGTGTGTGTGTGTCCAAGTGGTCTGATACCTCAATATTCTTTCATTTTGTAAATCTCTGTCTAAAACGTAAATATCCTTGTTAGGTATTTAGAATATAATTATGTTTTATATGGTACTGAGTATAAGGAGATTTAGACAAGTTTTAAAGAAGGTATTTCAATCTTTAGTCTGCATGAGACAGAAGACTGAACTCTGCTTATGTCACTTCCAGTTACCTAAGAGTAACCCATTGATTATTATATTGTGAGTACAAACTGTATTTCGCTGTTCCTTTCTTCTACTTGTCTTGAAAAATGACTTCAGAAGTCAGATTCTTTAAATAAGTAAATAGGGGTGTATTGCAATATTAATAATAAAAGACCAATAAAAGATGCATGAACCCAGAAACAGACAACTTCTTAATTATTTCCTTTAACCTGACAGAATAGTCAGACGTTATCTTGCTCTGTGAGGAAATGCTGAGACTTAGATGTTAGGAAGAATTTCTTTACTGAAAGGGTTGTTAGGCACTGGAACGGGCTGCCCAGGGAGGTGGTGGAGTCACCATCCCTGGAAGTCTTCAAAAGACGTTTAGATGTAGAGCTTAGGGATATGGTTTAGTGGGGACTGTTAGTGTTAGGTTAGAGGTTGGACTCGATGATCTTGAGGTCTCTTCCAACCTAGAAATTCTGTGATTCTGTGATTCTGTGACTACTGATGCATTTTCCCAGGTCTTTTTCCCATCTTCCATCTTCCAAGCAACCCACATCAAGTACAGTATTTACTACAGATGGTGTTAAATAGCTTAAAACAAGAAATAAAACAAAACTGCCCACTTCCTATGTTAGCACAGCCCTAGCATGCCTGCACTGCTAAACGAGTGTGAGCGCTGGCCCTAAGGAGCCATGGCACGGGCTGAGTTCCTTTCCCCAGCCGCACTTCAGAGAAAAGGGAGCCATCTGCTGCTCGATATGAGATAGGCTCCAGCGTGTCTTTTTAGCTTAATTATGTGAAACGTCACGGTGGGATTCAGCAAAGGAAGTGAAAACCTTTGTTGTTCTCCTTCCTCACACTATGGAACCAGACGGCACGGGAAGCAGGTGCTGAGTGCTGCTGTTCCCCATCTCAGCCTGGTGCAGAGCACAGCTGCATCCAGCATCCCAAGGACCCAGGGCACAAGTGGTTAAATACAAATAGCAGTCCTTTACGGAAATAAAAAGAAATAAAGTCAGAAAATACCACAAATCCTTCACATCAGGGCTGTATCACGAGTATGACACAGGGTCTGGCAGAGCAGAACGCAAGGGACAAGCAGCATTGCCCAGTAGGCTAGGCACAAGCAAACCACACGTTTACGTACAGCTATCCATAAAGTCATCCTCCAGAGGATGAGGAGTGATGCACTTACCTGCTGTGACAAAGGGCAGTGCTCCTCACACACTCCTAAATTGGTATTTATGGGTGTCATTTTTTGACTCTGCGGCTGCAGCCTTGCAGTCAAGCTGCTTGTGGTGCAGTATGTGAAGCGAGGAATATTCGCCAGTGAGTCAGCAAGACCTGAGAAGGAGGCAGCAGGGCAGAGAAATTCGTGTTCCTTGCTATTGCAGGGTTTTTTGGTATTATCTCGTACCAAGGGTGTAAGTAGATTTAAGATACACCTTGCCTTGGTGAGAAGAAATAAGAGAGGTAAAAAAGAGGAAGCTTGAGAAAAGCTTTGTTGACCGTTCCAGACCCTGAAGTCCTGTGTTTGCCTTCTGTTATGATGAGGGGAGTCTAGAAAGAGCTTGGGGTTCAACATGTAGATGGAAACTGTCACCTCCATGACCCCACGCTGCAGCACGGCACTTGTGGCCTGCAGCCCCTCAGATGCCCTTCCTCACTGGAAAGACCAGGCAGGGTGTCTGCAGCGTGTGTGAAACACCACAAAGCCTTCAAGTACAGTAAAATACATCTTCACTTTTCATGAAGTGTTGCAAAATATGTTTGACCTGTGTTTTGTCAGAATTAAGCCGTTGGGTTTTCATTCAGTAACTGGGGTTATAAAAGTAATTTCTAAGCAAGGTTGACTCACACACAACAGAAACTCTTAAGCTAAACCCCAGAACTGAAACAGAAATTCTGGTTTGCTTCACGTTTGCATAGATGCGATACTGGACGACCAGCACAGAGCCACATTCAATTACCAGTTGCAAGTTCAGTGCGTCTACCTAGTGCAGATACAACTGAATATACTGCCAGGAATCACGTACATTATTCCATTTCCCACCATGCAAAATGCTCCAGGCAGCTATTTACCCATCTCCGCACTGACACAGGCATCCAGCACAGCAGAAAAGGCTTTAGCAAGCAGCCGCCAGGGCCATGCAAGTGACTCAGCACTCGGCCCTGGCATGGGCATGGCTGAGCAGAGATGGTGTGCAGTGGCACAGGCTGTACAACTGCGAAACTCTTGTTAGCTTTCACTGATGTAGCCCAAAGAGGTTGGGAACCAGTGCTTTAGAGGGAAAACGCTTGATTATGTGTGCTGTGTAATTCAGAGGAGGAAAGCTTTATTGTGTATGCCGTGTAATTCAGAGGGAAAGAGCTTTATTATGTATGCTGTGGTGCTTGTTCGCTTTGTTGTGTGTGCTGTGATGCTTATTCACGTATTTACATTGCCGTGTTTCCAGCCTTCCCTCCAGGAACTCCGCACACGAGCAGCGCCTGCTCCCCAGACACTACAAATTACCATTATAACGCCCTTCAGGCGGAGGAGCGCTTTGCGGTTACGGGGAAACCAGCCCCAACCTCGGGCCTGCCCCAGTTCAGAACCGATTTCCAGCGCCCACACCCCACTGGGGGCTGCAGGAGGCCACCCCCCGCCGCCTCAGCGCCCCGCTTTCCCCGGGGGGGGCTCCGCAGCGACCCCCTCGGCCAGCCCGGCGGGCGGCAGGGAAGGAGGGGCGGGCGGCGCTGCCCTCACCCAAGATGGCAGCTGAGGGCCGGCGCCCGGAGGGGCGGAGCGGGGCGGAGCGGAGCGGAGCGGGGCCGGCTGCGGGGCGGCTCCGCGGCGGCAGCGGGGCTCCCGGCCGCTGCTCCCGGCCTCTCCGCCGTGGCGGCCGGCGGGCTGGCGCTGGGCACGCTGCGGGGCGGCGTGATGGAGCCCGAGGAGGGCGAGGACCGCACGCCGCTGCTGAAGGAGCCCCGGCTCGACGGAGCGGGTGAGGGGAGCGGGCGGCGGCCGAGCCCAGCCCGGGCTGCGGGGCCCGGCAGGGGGCGGGCCGGGCTGCGGCGCCTCCCCGGCGTCGTGTCGCCATGGAGCCGGGCAGGGCTTGGGGCGGCTGGTGGGGAGAGGAAGGGGAGCGGGGAGAGAGGCTGGGGGTGGTCGGGGCTTGGGTAAGAGGTGTGCGGGGTGTTTTTGTGATTAGTGTCCCAGGAGAAAGTGTGAAGGTGACAGCGAGGCGGTGGGGTCCCGCAGCGTGCCCTACAAAGTAACCTGCTCGCCGAGCAGCTCCCTTACGGGACAGCGGGTAACAAAACGGCTTAAAAGCTCCGGGGTCAGGTTTTAGGGCAGTGCCCTGCAGCAGAGGTAGCGCACCTCACCCACAGCACACAGCACGGAGCTACTTCCTTTAACCGCCCTGCAGCCTGCGGTGCAGACCTGCTTCCCTTAGCTGCAATTCAAGGCTCTCGTTCGCTTATATCTCCTTTTAAACATGCTCCTGAAGTCAGAGTTGTCTCTAGATGTAGCACCCGTTGGTACCGGTCAAGGTAAGATCCACAGCGTCATGGTTAGCAGCCTTAAGCTTTAGGAGGGACGACAGTATCTCTTTGCCAGTGAATGTGGTGGTGTCCTAAAGAGGTGCGTAGCCAAAACACAACTGGAATCTTCTTGAACCTTCTATTAACTTCACCTAATGTTCTCAGGTGCTGCAAATGCACTTAGCAGGAAGACATAAAAAAAAAAAAAGTCATTAGTGGTCTTCAGTTCATACATATCGCCTTTGTGGAGCTTGCTCTCCAGATGAGGCATGCACCAGCACGAGCCTTCCAGAGGCAGAGTAATGGACACTGCAGTAAATCTGCCTTTCCAAGGACAGGTTATATCATAAGTGCCATCTCAAGTCTTCTGTTATTATTGTTTAACCCCAGCAAATATAGGCACAACAACGGAAAGGTTAAATAGCTTTACTTGCAATTATATTCATTAGTTTAATTTCAGCGACTATACAATTTCTATTGAAAGCAAATTGCTTTTCAAACAACAGCAAAGGGCAGTGAAGCTACTTGACTTGTTTTTCTGCATTAAGCACTTCCTGCTCTTGGCACCTGTTGTTTTGAAAGCAAGCAATAAAGTCTTGGCTATATGTCATTTTAAAATGACATAAAAGCCAAGGCAAGTGGGAGCAGCAAAGTCTCCTCTATGTCAGTTAAAAAACAGGTACTCCTTTTTCAAATGCCACCGAAGCAAGACTTGCCATTACTGTAGGTCTGGAAGATGTTTTATGTATTTGCATAGTAGCCTCTCTTGTTACTCATTTACTAAAGAAACATAGCAAATAATGCCTCACTGTCAGCGTAACAATTTGTTCAGCCTTAGTAAACTTCAGATAGGTTTATCAGGGACAGAGACCTCAAAAAAAAAAAAAAAGAAAAGAAAAAGAAAAAGTTCTACAACTTTCATGAAGACTGCAGTCTCCTAGAAAGGCTCTGTTGGTGCCCCTAAAATTAAGGGATTGCATAGACTCATTACAGATTTCTAGAAGGTTTCTGGGAAGAGGAGAGTCTTCAGATAGCTTGTCCCCAGGGAATGCTTTTTGCTTCTTACTGCAGATCAGAGAATCCAGTCAAGAAACATGCTGCAGCTGCAGATGGGGCTCCAGCCAATCCTGCTGTTCATAGATCTACTTGTTCTATTCAGAATTTAAATGCTGAATAGTCTGAGAAGCAATTGCTGCAGACTGAAGTAGTATCTGCAGGTGCTGATTGCCAATGCTGCCTCAGTTTCAGATGTCCAAGTTATAAAATTTTCTGTTATCACCACAGTTTCCTCACGAGGGGAAACTCCACCCTGGAAATATTTGTACATTCAGCGGATTCTTCATGTCATTTCTCAACACTTTGACATTTCTGCTTTGGTAGCTGTAGGCATCCCCGGTTCAAAAAAGTATCTGCAGAGCTTTAAACTGTAATTTGTATACAGCCTCCCGGCTGAAATACATCTCGACTCTGATCTGAATCTCCTGGCACTGATCAATGATCTCTGCCAAATACTGCAGTGTCCTACTGTCAGAGGAAATTGATAACAAGTGACAGTGCAAAGCCCGATATTGGGGTGTAAACAGCTGACAGAGTTGGTTTAATGCTGAATCTAAGACCCATTTTCCTTTGACAACCTCATTATTATATAGTGACTGCAAGAAAAGGGGCAGATTGGATAACTGAAACTGCTACAGTTCTACAGTGCCTTAGCAGTGTTTGCCATTCTTTTTTTCTGCCTTTTTTTTTTTTTTTCCTTAGGCAGCTATTAACAAACACGTATTGGTTTATAAACAAACATACAGAAGGAAAACTTGTCTTAAAAAAACAGCTTCACTGGCTGTTTTTTAATGCTACTTTAAGAGTTTCAGTCCATCTTGAACCATTTTCAGGTACATTAAAGTCTTCCTGATGGTTTCATTTATTTTATTTTTATTTTTTAGAGTGAAGTTCCAGGTTGAATAATTATTACTGTATGTTCAAGAGGACTTCTGAATGCTTCTACATCTATTTCCACAGGCCACACACCACATTTCCACTGCAGCCCCTACACTTGTGTGCACAGCTACCGGTAGTCTAAACCAGAATCACCTTTGTTTCATACATCAGTAGAAAAATATGCGTTATTTTTTCCACCCTGATCTCTCTCTACCCATATTGAGTACACTCCTCAAGACTACTACAAGTTTATTTTTTTTTACCCGTAAATTTCTGAGATTATAGTAAAAACTGCTTGTCACTTGCTCTTTTGTTTTTGTTGTTGTTGGGTTGTGTTAAAACAAGAACTTGTTATTTATTCTCCTTTCAGTCCCTGCCTGCTGCTCAGCTCGCTACAATCTAGCACTGCTGGCCTTTTTTGGGTTCTTCCTGCTGTATGCATTGCGTGTGAACCTAAGCGTTGCTCTGGTGGATATGGTGGAACCTAACACAAGCTTAACAAAGAATACAACTTCCAACGTGTGTCCAGAGCATTCCTCAACCATAAATACTCCTCGCAACACAACGGTGAGGTCTCAAACATACCTATCTGAAACGTGGCATGTAAAATTATTTTTAATAAAGGCTCTGATTGATGAGTCATGCTTAGAAGGCAAGAGAACTGGCTGCTCGTTACCAGATAGCCTTTGCAGTGCTGCTCTTTTAAATCAAATCCAAAAAATAATAGCCTTAAATGACTAGCTGATTTAGAAGTGCTGTGCTCAGGGTAAGGTTTTATTTTTTTTTTTTTTAATGTACGTCTTTCTGTGCTGTTCTTCACAAATTAGCTGGTCTGACCTTATAGATTATTATGACTCACTGTTTCATATGCCAGTGATCAACTGTTTCTGTTACATCTGCGTCAGAGCTCACATCACTATCTACGTTTGCTTGGGTTTTGTACAGTTCTGGGAGTGTGAAATTTCATTTTAAATTAACTAAAATGCAACGTTTTTCTCTTCTCTTCTTTGATTGCTTTCCCTGATCACGATTCTTGACTTTATATCTTTCACCTCCTCACTTTCTGTGCAGTAATCCTTAAAATCACATTTAACTATGAAAAGTTATATTTAAAAACAGTTTTGTTAATTTGGACATACATAATCTCACCTTATAACCAAGGTTTATTACTGAGCCCTCTTGCCCTTTTCCTGCCTTTGTCTTGTTTGTTTGGAGGTCATTTATTATTTATCATGAGCAAATTCCTTTTACGTGTTGTACGGGAAGAAGATTCTCCCTCATCACTTCTGCAAAATAAATGCTGCTCATTTAGGTGCTCGTAAATAGGACTTTTGGAAGTGATCCCAAACTTTAAAATCACTTCCTTGGGCAACCATTTATGTCCTCTTGCTGACTTCTTTTATTGCTTCCTTATCTCAGCCATCTTTGCTTTATTGCTTTTCTGCTAAACTCATTTTCCTCTGCCAGGCTTATCCTGTTCTTCCATCTATGCTTGCGAGTCCTGTCCTTGGTTGTTCTTCTTCTTTATATTAAATTTAAGTATCTGCTTCTCCTGGTTTGCTTTTCTCGTAAGTTTTCTGCATGAAAAGCCATTTTCCAGAGTGCAACAGAATGCCCATGCCGTGATACAGAAGTGGGATTTACACATCTTGTGAAGATGGAGACCCTACAAAAGGCCATGAAAGATCTGCAATTTAGGCATGAAGGACTAGTTAATCAAATTCATATAAAATATGGTCAGAGAAACTGCTGTCTTGAACTGACTGCATTTTGGGTTTTGTTTTCTCTTTTCAGGGAAAAAAGTATTCTTGGGATGCTGACACGCAGGGATGGATTCTTGGTTCTTTTTTCTACGGCTATATTGTTACTCAGATTCCAGGCGGATATCTTGCAAGCAAAATCGGAGGGAAGCTCTTGTTGGGCTTTGGTGTCTTTGGCACCTCAGGCATTCACCTTGCTTACTCCCTTAGCTGCGGATTTGGGAGTTGGCTACCTCATAGCTGTCCGAGCCTTGGAAGGACTGGGAGAGGTAATCCTTTTTTTCCATGTAACTTGAAAATGTATCCCAATAATTTATTGATAAATTGTAGTGATTAGACCCTGTCACTGTTGGTATGCTGGAGTAGTGCAAGGATTGTTTACTTTTGAGTAGTCTAATTTTATTTTTTGAATAATTAACCAATTTGCCCTATTTTTTAGCCTAAGCTTTTTTTAAAAAGAAAAAAGATAATTCCAGGTTTGTCTCAAGTGTCTTTACAAATAAAACCTTTCTCATTTGTCAGGAACCCAAGAGTTCAAAACCATATTGTTTGTATTCTTGCAACCTTTCCAGTATATGCAGATTCAAAAGCAAGAGAAATTAATTTTACCACCTTACTGTCACAGCTTACATGTTTATTTTTAAGTGGTTTCTTGCTAGGCAAGAAGCTAATGGGTTTTACTACTGCTTTTTAATGAAATATTCCTTTGAAACATGCAAACTTGAGGGAAGTTCTAAAATTGTTGCTTTTCAGCAGAATGGCATTTTGTGTTCTAGGGTGTTACCTTCCCAGCTATGCACTCAATGTGGTCTTCTTGGGCCCCGCCACTGGAACGCAGCAAGCTCCTCAGTATTTCATATGCAGGTGAGAAGTTCCCACGCTGGTAACAGGATTATACATTTTTACTGCAGTAACAGGGAGGATTGACTTAAATCAAAGGGATTTATATTATCAATTTTAATTAGCATTTAATCTGAAAAGCATAACACTGAATTAAATCTTGCTTTGCATTCATTATCTTCATTTTTTCATGGCTTTTTTAGCCTCCAGTTAAGGTATTGATCTGCAGTGAAGTATAAACTTCGAACTGCGGTATCAAGCAGTACAAAGAGTTATTGTGAAGCTGATTAATAGAAGATATTGTAAATAAAGGAAATATAACAGCAGAAATAAGATGGGAATCACAGGATTATTATTCTTATTTTTTAAGAGGTGGTTTTGCAGGAACTTGAGGAAGAAAATACCTGAAAATATCAGGTATTGCTGCAAGAGCAGCTTGTCAGAGATCAGTACCCTCTGACAATATTCTTTTAGATACTCCATGTGTGGAGGGTGTAATGTTTAATACAAAATGTACTTATTTGAGTATATTTGATGTTACGTGGGATTTTTTGATTTACAGAGTGAGATAAAGCGTACTGAAAACATAACACAGTCGTAAGTTACGCTTAGCAAAGTATAGCAGTCACAATACCCAGTTCAAGTGCAATACCAACGTGATTCCCATTATCCGTCTCTGTGATGTCTCTGCCGTCACGATGCTGGGTGTCTCCATTTGCTGGGAAGGAATGTGTGAGTTGAAGCCAGCTTGAGCCCGTTGCCCTTTTCGACATTATTTTGTTGGTTGTTCAGTTTCTATACTCCGTGTTGAGTTGTGTCACATATTAACTCCCCTGATGCTGGTCTAACTAAGGGGGATATTCACATGATTTTAGTGAACTCAGAGAAAAACATTTACACTATCAGTTGATCCACTCAATTGATAGAGCTGTTTGGCTAATGCAAAGGCTGCCCCTTCAGTCCCCTTTGTGTTGAGATAGCCAGCTTTCCTTACAATGGCTCTAGTCAGTCACACCCTGCATTATTCCCTGAGCATCATGGACAGTTACAGGGCTATACTGTGTAAACAGTGACTGCAGTTTCTAGTGAGTGTAGTAGCTTGCTTGTGCATGTGCCAACAGGAATGAAGCCTTAGTCCTTTCTTCTTCCTATTTCCACACTTCCCTCCTAGTCAAGTGTCTCATTCCCTCCTGTGTGCTATTTCAGGCACTCATCAGACCCTACCATGACCCACTTTAACCCACCTAATGCATCAGATGGTCTTTTTCTCTTTAATATCTATTTTCTGACATATTAGTGAGTTAAATCTGCTTGAAAAGAAGTCCGCACTTGAGAAGACAGCATACAAAATAAGTAGAGTACAGAGCTGGGGTTGACACTTACTGCTTTTAGCAGTTAAGAGCTTCTAAATTAACCCTTTGTGAAGCCATATGCTAAAGTATAGGTGCGAAGAGGCTGTGACCTTGAACAGCAGGCGTGGATGGATAAGGCACCTTGTGTAAACTTAACAAAGTGTTTCCCTTTTCCCCACATTTTCTTGGTTGGCAGTCACATGGACTGTGGCTGAGAAAGTCCTGATCCTGTTGACTTTGTAAGTGAACACATGACAGAGTTACATGTAGTTACTTTGCTTTGTATTTAACATAAAGTATGTGGTTTCATTGTTTTGTGGTTGAAGCTTTCTGCCTCAAATAAAAATAGTTTCCATAAAGGAGGAATCTGGGTAGCCAGTGTATCGATACAATCTAATGTTTTCTGAGCTGAGATTAGGTTTGGAAAAGCGATTGTATAATTAATATTAAGAGGCAAGGTTTGATATTTATCACCAGTTGAAGGCTCCTAAGTATGTAAATAATATGGGTGCTACCTGCCACCCTTTTCAAAATGTATCTTGAATTGTATTTCAAGAATTGTTCGTTCCTGCTTTTGGCTTGTATCAGGACTGGAATCTGCTGATCTTTCCCTTCTACTTTGCCTGACCCTACGCACTGTCAAGTTCGGGGACTGTGCAGTTAGAACCTGCTGGCTGTATGGATGCCTTCTGGCTCCTGTGTCAAGCGTTTCTGTTTCAGTAGGAGTTATGGGCAATTTGGTTATAGAAAATCAGAACATTATTTCCCCCTTCCCTCCCCGGGTCCTTGATTGCACTGTGGTCAGCTCCCTCAGAAAGGTCATTTGACTAAGTTGTATTGTTTTGAATGTATTGCAGCCGCTACGTTTTTGGAGACAAATGTGCCAAGAATGCTGTCTCATTGCCTTCTGTTTGTTATTTTGGCTGTTTAGGACCTTGTGATTCTCGTTTTCTTGGAGTTGCCAAAGCAGTTTATGGTGCCTTTTGTTTCTTTCAGGAAACATCACCCTCTAGTGGTGGTGACAAATCTTAGCTGCATGGTTTCTTAGAAGAAAATAAAATACCTGTGAAATAAAATAAATAAATAAATAAATAAAAATAAAGGGTCTAGAGATGATGATTTTTTTTTTTTTCTGGTAGGTGCACAACTGGGAACTGTTGTCTCTCTGCCACTGTCTGGTTTAATTTGTTACTACATGAACTGGGTTTACGTGTTTTACATATTTGGTAAGTTTTGTTTTTTTTAAAAAAAATTATTATGCCATATATACAATCCATATTTTTTTTTGAAAGCTATGGTATGTTGGTTTAGTATGTCTTATGTCTTAAGCTTAAATTAAGTTTTAAAGACATGTTCAACATGTAGGGCTGTCATTTTTTGTTTTTTTTATTTTTTATTTTTTTATTCCTGGGAAATTAGAGGTATTTAAAGCTAGAAAGATTCCTTTGCTTCCAACGAACAAAGATGTCTCTGAGTTGGACAAAAGTTGGCACAAGTCAAATGTTCTCAGCTTTCCCACCACTCGGAAATAACTAGCTGGAATTTCTTATTTGAAGTGTGAAATTAAGTTAATAACTTTAATCCCAGGAGCAATCTTCTACTATGAGTGAAAGAACGTCTGAAAAGTTACTGCTGTTTTAAGTGGAAACTCTGTGAAAATTTCTCTAGCAGTCACAGGAACCCTGAAGGAATGCCCCAAATGCAAGGAATAGCATATTTGCTAATGTTCTAGAAGAAGCTCAAACATAAAATAGTTGCTAATAGGATGTCATAGGTCTAACATGCTTTTTATAGGTTTATGTACATTTCAAAGTTGTTTCATGCTCTGCACGGGGAAAAGAGAACCAGAATAAAAGACAAGGCTTACACTTTACTCAGCAGAACCACCTCTTATTAAAACTGTTCAAAACAGAACTAGACAAAATAAATGACAATGTTTAAGTGAAATTAAAATACAGGTAATTTGAACCAATTTTTGTAAAGCTAGCTTTTTCAGATGACTGTTCTGGTGCCTTAGCTTAAAAGGGAAAATAAAGATTGGCATATTCGTTAAGCTATATGTAGTGATTTTCTGTATGCGTGTGTGTATGCAAAGTGGTTCTTTTGTGATTAAATTCCTCTGTGTGAGCTGTATCATTTATGGCTGTTCCACGTGACTGATAAAAGTACAATGTGGATGTGTGTGTGGCTTTCTTGCTGTCTGAGGCACTTCCAGGAGGGAGAAGGGGAGAGGGGGGGTGAACTTCCTGCTTAGTCATCTTTATTACTTATAAATGGGTATTGTTCCCTTTGAGGAGCTAATGTTTTTAAGTAGCTAAAAGGTTTTTTCCAAATACCCAAATGTAATTTTAATGAATGTTATTTTTCTAACTAAATTATCCAAGAGCATTATTCACTCAGTGTAATTGCTCCTATTTTTATTTCTGCCTCTTCACCCATCTTTTCCCAACAATAGGTGCACTTGGCGTATTATGGTTCTTCTTCTGGATGTGGCTGGTTAGTGACACACCAGATACTCACAAGAGCATTTCACATGCTGAAAGGGAATATATACTTTCTTCTCTAAAAGATCAGGTACAGCACTTTGGTATAGCCTTGTTTGCTTACGTAAGAACCTAAACTTCAAGTATTGTTGATAGCAAAATGCTCTCTTGATAGAAAAATGTCCTTAATTTGAGATAAAGGCAGAACTTGTATAAATGAGAAAATTGCTAATTAAACAAAGCATTTGTAGTAATGCTTTTTGTCACAAATGTTGTGGTGCTTTTTAATAAAATACTCAGGTCTATCATATGTCATTAAAAGAAACATTGACCTGTATCATGTTCCTAAAATTCATTAAAAATAAAACATTTTGTACATGTATCTTCTAAGGAAGAAAGTGAGAGGTTACTGTTTGCAGAGAAAACGTTTTAGAAATGCTAATGAGCCAGTTCCTAAAGCATGCATATGAGTTTATTCCTGTGACTGGGGATATGCGTTTTTATGCTGTGAAGCTGGCTGAGAGATCAAAGCTAATATCTAGGATTGAGTAGGAAAGATTTAGCTAAATGCATCACGAGTGACTTTAAATATTTAATTGTTATGGGTGAAAGCAGGAGGCAACAAATCTCGATAAGGGAAAGCATGTTTGTTTTCTTTTTTTTTAATTCTGATTATAAAGTGTAATGGCAATTGGTGTACAATACTAAATAACAGAGCAGTAACATGCATTAGTATACCTTTAGTGAGAACTGAAATTGCTGGTGAATTCTTCTATTGACATACTCGCATCGTGCATTTCCAAATGCATGATCACTGTAGATTTGGGTAGGATTTTAACGCCTGTAGTAACTGTTCATCTTGATGTCCTGATAATTCTTTCTATTATTATTTTTTTTCTTTTTTCTCCTCTGTCTCCTGCTTGCTAGCTTTCTACACAGAAATCTGTTCCCTGGAGACCTATGCTGGAGTCCCTTCCACTGTGGGCTATCGTTGTGGCACACTTCTCTTATAATTGGACTTTCTATACACTTCTCACGCTCTTGCCCACATATATGAAGGAGATCCTGCGGTTTGATGCACAGGAGGTGAGATAAATAATTCAGAACAAAGTGATTATATTCTTAAAGAAATACAATAACAGAGGTCTGACATGATATTTAGAATGGAGACACTTGGAATGTAAATTAATAGCTGGGAAATGGTGAAATAATTCCCCAGAATTAAGGAGATGCGTCTACAATTTTGTGTGCATTGTCTTTTCAACTGGATTTCAGGATTTGATATTTATTTGATATTTAGCTTAACAATAGCTTTTCAGCTCATTTTTTCTGGTTGAAGATGTGTTGCTCATTTCTAACTACTCTGATTTAAAATGATTAAAAATACATATAACAATAACTACAATAACTACAAAAAATATATTTCTCTGATACATGGTTTGCATGACTGCTTCAAATTGTATAGTGTCTTTTATGGCTTCAGAAATACTCTCTACTTCTTTTTAGCTCACTCATAAAGGAAAAAATTGTCTTTGAACATTAAGGGCATCATCGGATAAGTGACGTTTTAAGTATTTTAAGGAGGGAAAAAAAATACACTTCAGTGTGATTGGTTCTTCTTCCAAATCATTATTTTCTTTCATTTCTTCAGTGAGTAGCAGAGATACAATAAGTTATTTTAACAACAGGATGAAACAAAATCATAGACTTAAAGTCCAGAGATGGTGCTTTTCAAGGATTTTTTTTTTTTTTTTTTAATGAAATGATTTATCAGGTAAAAAATAAAGGGTTGAAAATGTTTATATGGCAGTTAGTTGACTCTTCTTTTCCTTTTCTTCTTTCTTCAATGGAAAAACATCCGCAATACTGTCTCCAGTATAAGCTGGTACTTCTCAGGTAAAAAGGTCCTCAGGTAGAGATTTCAAGAAGCTTAGCAGAGCCTTTTCCTGGCTTAACACCTGAGACTGGTTTAGAGCAAAATGGAGATATACACCATGCAAGAAGGATGTGATGCCAGCAATCTTGTAAGGAAAAGATGAGGAATCTGTGTAAAAAGAGAAGGTTGCAGTCAAGCATACTACAAAAAATGGCTGGAAAAAATGGCTGAAGTTGCTCTTTAGATTCCTTATTATGCCTCCCTAGGGAACACCTGAGTAAGCATCTATGAAAGGCATATGTTACGCAATGCATGTATGTTGTAAGACTCCATTGCATGAAATGCCAGCAGGTTCTGCTGTGGTTTCCTGTGTCTAAGGGTTATGTTACTTCTTTTTGGAGTGACTCCATCAGTGCTGACTATTGTGACACATTAAAGAAAACAGAATGTTTTTTAAAAATTGCATAATAGTGTCAGACTAGCTTTCTTTACCACGCATTTAGTTGTAAATTCCATTAGTGTGTAAAATATTGTGCAGTAGCAACTGCATAGTCCACCAGTTTCCGTCCTATAATAAAGAGATCAGTTAAAAATTAATGCTGTGTCTTCGGACAGTGCTTCATAGTCACAGTAACAAAACAAACAAACCTTTTATCTTCTGTTTTTCATAATTTCAGTTGTTATTTTTGAAAGCCAAGCATTGGAACCTAGCAGGCAACAGCTTTGGATGTGGACAGAGTAAATTTCAGATGGGGATGTGTTTGTAGTGTCGTGTAAAATTAAATGTCCTAGGAAAGCTTTTACTTCTTCTTTGCCAAATATACATTTTACAATAGTGCATAAATGTTACAGTATTTCTATCCAGTGGCTATCCAGATACCTCTTTTTAAGCTTAGTTTAGGTGAAATTATAGTTCAATTATCAATAATTATTTTTAATAGCATGGAAAGGCTGAAAACTGATGCTGCTCAGCAGAACTTGTGTTTCCCTCATCAGAAAAAAAGTAAGCATAATCAGGCACAAGTCACTAAACAGCTCTTGTTTAAAGAAATGGAAGTCAGCAGGTGGCATTGGTGTAAGTAATGGCAAGTCCTGAGTAATAGCTTTGCTTTGGGATCATAGGATGCCCAGACAGAATCTGATGAAAGTCTTAATTCTGTGTCTTCTCTGGTTACAGCCATCATCAGATGTGTCAGCAGATAGCTGTGGGATAGCATAACATTGCAGAGTAGTAGCAGTATAGAACCCTGAGATCACAGATTCCACAACAGCTTTCAAAATCCTGTATAATATCTGTATAATACTTACAGCTTCCACTGACCTTAGTAACTCATTGATTTGAAACTTGTGTTTCTGGGTACTTGCAAAATTGGGTTAATGACCACAACATACCTTTTTTGCATAGTTTCCTTTTTCCTGACCAGTTGCTTATTTAAGCCTTTGAGTTTTTCAGCTGGCTGCGTTGGTAGTTATGGCTCAAGTCATGCAATGAAGAGTTTACACATCAGTAACTTGAAAATGCTTTGCCTTTTCTGTCCCTAGGTTTCTCTCCTGGTAAAAACCAACAATAGTTACGTGAATGGATGTTCCTAACACTCCTGACTCAAACTCTGTTACTGCTCCAAGACAAGTGATTTTTTCAGCAAATTGAACTGTCATTTCAGTGTTTTAACTGTGGTTTTGTTCTTTTTTAATCTCCTTAACAGAATGGCTTTTTATCTGCTCTGCCTTATTTTGGCTGCTGGTTATGTATAATTCTGTCTGGGCAAATTGCTGATTATTTACGGGAAAAGCAGAAGTTCTCCACTGTTTGTGTTCGTAAATGTTTTACCCTAATAGGTAAGTGCAAGTACTGTCTCTTGGAACATACTATGGGGCCATTCTGTGGAAAAAAATTAAAGCTTGGGGAGTGAATTGTGACAATCTGGTGTGAGATGAGGCAGGATTGTGCGTGGCGTGAGAGGAGCCACTCTTCGACAGCATAAATTGTGCTAGGTTGTGGAAGTGCAACTAAAACAAGCACAGTGTTTTTTCACTCTGCATAATGCCCACTCCTGAAATTGGAGAATGTACATTTATTTCCTGCTGAGAAGTGTTGAACAAGTGCTGTGCTGCTGCACTTAATATCAAGCAAGAGAGAATTCATCTTGGTGAATTTTCATGATATTTCATGAAATATTATTTCAGTATTGCAATAAGCACTATAACAGTATAGTAAAAGGTAATATATCTGCAGTTTGCATTCCTCAGCTTTGTGTAGGAACATCTTTTTTCCTTTTTTCTCTCCTGGAATATTCCAGAGTCGACACGTTGACAACATTCCTTACTAATTCATGAGTAATAAACTTTTGAAGACTCCTCTAGACCACAGGTTGAAGTGGAGCTTGTAGACTTGATTCTTTCTGGAAGAAATTGTACCTGGCTTCTGTTGGTCCATAGAACTTGGGGTTTACTGTTTCTGTCTGTACTTCATTTTTTCAAATATCATGTTTCTTTGCCTTTTTAAGGTTTAGGTAATGTCAGCTGGAGCCAAAGTGAGAATACAAAAGGTGTAAATTGTCCTTTGAATTGATGTAGTAATTAAATTACAAATGAGAACAGGTGGTTGTCTACACATTCACATGTATTGTCCCTAGCCACCATCAAGCTGTTTAGGTGCTTGTTATTTTAGCAAATTGGCTTCATACATCAAATATAGCCCTTAAATACTATTTATTTCACTTTATTTCAATGGAATTATGAATGACAGAGGCAGGTGGAATATTCAGTGAGTGCATTCTTTGTTTTTTCAGAAGAAAGATTAATCGTAAGAGACGCTTGACAAAAAAATGAAAGGAGTTAGACTAGAAAAAATAACGAGTAAAGACTGAGATGAATTAAAGATTGAGGTGTGTATTCAAGTGGGCAGGGCAATGGTGAAATTTACTACACTTCTTAGAATCACTGCTCACAGCCTCTGAACTTTTCACAGTTGTCTTGTGAGGGTGAGCAAGAAAAAAAAAAAAGCAACATAAATACTGTATCTCTTTTAAAAAGATTAAAAAGAGATCCTCAAAAGTCAGTGTTGGCTCCTGAAACCTGGATATTTAAATGGGAATAACTTCTTTGCAGTGCATTGTTCACCTATTGGTCTGAGTGCAGCTTCTGTTACTTGTATAATCATAAATAAAATGAACTTGTGAAGTCACTTTTAGCAGTACCATTGGCTTTCAGGTGAAGCTTGTTCTTTTAAGCTAGAGTAGGATTTTTCTAGTCTGTCCAGCATTTCCTGAGACAGCCACAGGTCTGTAAACCATCTGCGCTTCCTCACTGGCCTACTGTATTGCACGTAGTGAAGTGCTGGATTCTGTACACTAGATGGTGTTGGAGGTTGTATGTATGCATAGCTCAGAGCCTCTTAATGTCTCTATGGTTAAAAGTCCCCTGATTCTAAAATTTCTGTTTTGAAGGAATGATTGGACCTGCAGTGTTCTTAGTAGCAGCTGGATTCATAGGATGCAACTACGCGCTGGCTGTTGCATTTGTGACCATATCAACAACACTAGGAGGATTTTGTACGTCTGGTTACAGCATCAACCATCTGGACATAGCACCTTCGTGAGTATTGCTGAAGCAATTGTTGATGTATGACCACTTCTGTTGTATTCCTGGAGTGCCTGGGAGCTTTAGCTATTGGCCATACTGCTGTACAGACCTGGAATATAAACAATGACAATGACTCGGGTCTACAGTTTTAAACACTGTATTTGCAAAAAAGTGCAAGTTTGGTAGAGAATATGATATGAACAACAAATCAGCCCTGTAATTCAGGCTTTTGTTTGTTTATTTGTTTGAAAAACATATTCTGTATGCTGGTATTAAAATTATATTTGGAGTAGGTGACCTGTTATCACTAGGTGATGAATCTTGCATATGATTAATCCAAACTACATTTTTAAAAGTCGTTTAAGAGTAAAGTCAGACTACAGTTTGTATTTTCTCCTCTGTTAAAATTCAGAACCCGACAGATCCATCTATTTCCTGAGAGGCGCATATACATATATATATATATATATATAGATGTAGATTCTTTTGAACCTTCAAATAAGCATTCTTTGCACTGGTAACAGCCAAGTACTTTGCTCTGTTGTTAATTTACCTATCTGCAGTAGCACTTACGTATGAGCAGGGTCAAATGACTTTATGACCAAATAAAAGAGTGCTTATATACTAATGTGTCAGATGAAAAGAGTTTATCTGTGAGTGGAGATGAAAAAATGTTGTAGAGATGCTATCTAGGAAAAAATACTTAATATCTGGGCAAAACTGAAGGTGGTATCCAGGCTTTGGTGATTGAAAGGGTGGTGGTCAGGTATACAATGATGAACAAGGTTTGACTTGTGGATGTGAAATAGTGGGACTCTTTGTCAAGTTAATCTTGACAAATTAGTTCAGATAGCAAGCAAGATGGAAGGAAACCAGTGTCTTAACTATAAACAGCGTATACTGTGAACTGAACATGAAAGTAAGAAGAATAGCACCTGTGCTGCACTTTGTTTAATATCAAGTAGGATTATGAATGTAGAAGGTCTAGTTAAAGCACTGCACCTGGAGGATTTTGGGGCCATTATGCAACTTCTGTTTCAAGCTTACCTTTGCAGCTGCAGAAGTTGTTTTTCTAAAAATGTAAAACACTCTAAGAGTTACTTATTTTATTTTTGTGTGTTTAAAAACATGAAACACAAGCATTAACATCAAGAGACGTTATTTGTGTAAGCTCATTAATGGCAGAACTTGGATGTGTCTAGAGAGGGAGGCTGGCATCCATTCCTAAGCCCTCTGCCTGACAGCTGTAGTAGTTGGAGAGCATGTAATGGCTGAGGCAGGGCATTACAGGAGAAAAGAAGGGTCATATTTAAGGTAGACGAACATTGCTTGTGGGAATTCATTCCTTTCATTGCTCTGTCAGAGTTTACATGTGGTAGGTCAGTTGGACCAGACTCCTTTGTCTGTGAGGGCCATGTTCTTACCCTATAATTTCAAGAAGCGCTCATCCCTCTTCATAACTAAAGAATTCCTAAAAGAACAGGTTCCCAAAGTGTAATATGTAATGGGGGTCTGCAGCAGCTTGAGTCCAAACTTAAACGTATCAATTGGGAAGTGAATGTTGGATCCAGTGACATTACTTGAGGCCTAGCTGATTTATTACTTGTTTTCTGGGTATGTCTTTTCAAGCTCTGAAGTCTAGTTTTTAAAATTGGAAGTACTGAGTGTTAATGAAGTCAGCAGGAGCTGTGCTTTGAACATAAGAGCAATGTTCATAAATATTCTTAAAGTGGGATCCTGAGGATCTCAAGTCAGTCGTTCAGTAGGTGCATGCATTCTTGGCCTGTTTTCAGTCCCAGTCTGTAGGATTGTGACATCCATCTCTCACAAATGTTGTGGAAATAAACTTATTTTGTCAAAAATTCTACTGGAAAGCCTTTGGGATGATATAGGTGTTGAAAAATGCAACAAGAAAAAATCATGATATAGCATGCATATTGGCAGGCATAATTAGATCTACCACGTGAACAGCTGCAGTATCCCTTGACCAAATCCCACTCTGTTCTTCCTATCCTTGACAGTCATGCTTATTCCATTTGTGTTTAAACTGGGCAAGTTTCTCGGCCCTTCTTTCCTTTCAGATAGTCCGAAGGGAGCAGACTGGTTACAAGTCTAGGAGAGGCAGGTGTCTCACTCAAAGTTCAGGAACCTGGATCTGATGTGGGCAATAGCAACGAATGCTTGCATGTACAGGAAGGCTTTACTGGACAGGAGGAACACACTCAGGGTAGAGGCTGTTTTATTGAAATCATTGAATCTCTATTCAACACATGCATGCTTTAATTCAAGGAAAATATGTTCAAATGGAGACAGAGAAGGAAAAGAGAATCTCCTTGTAACAAAGGTAATAGGAAAAGGGGAAAAAAAAAAGTCTTCAAATACAGAAACACCAGGAAGTTTAAGATGAAAGGAAAAAAAGTCTTTTTTTTTTTTTTTTTTTCCCCTCTGCTTAACTTTTTACAGGTGTCTGAACTTTCTTGGATGCAACGGCCATGCATCCAATGGCATTCACAATTTAAGGGATAAACTTTGCATAACTGTAAAAATCTCAAAACAAGTTCTGCATGAAAGTGTGGAGGAGACCTCTGTTAAGAGTTTGCCTTCTTGGTTTATTTATTTTTCCTTAAAACATGTTAGAATAACCAGAAGTGATTCAAAGCAATTTCAAAATGCACTTAGATGTCTATTTGCATTGGTTAAAAGTAAGCTGACTAGAATAGCAAAGAGTCCATTGTTGCTACTAAAACTTGCATTATACCAAAGAAATAATGATTACATTCTCAGGAAAAAAACATGAATGAAAATACTGATGCTGGAAGAAAAAACAGTATTTGCTCTGTGTGTTTGGTTTCTAACACATATTTATTAGGCCATCACGGCATTGAGTTGCTGGAGGAGGGAAAGGGGCATTGTTCTTGTGGGGAAAAATGTTTTCTATTCTAGTTGTCTAAACCAACATCAATACATTGCTGTGTTTATCATTTTTATTATCTCTGTCACCATGGGCCCTTATAGTATTCCACATAATGAACACCTCACATCTCTTTATGTTTTAATTTTTAATTATTTTTTTTTTTTTTACAACTTAACCACTCTTCAAGTCAATTTGTATTTGCTTATCCCCACTATGCCATGAGAATTCAACCAATAACTTGCTATTAGTCTTGCTCTATAGATGTGTCACTTTCTTTCCCATTTCATATGGGAGTCTCCGCTGTGCTGAGGGAGTGGCATAGCAGTTATCTGCATCAAACAGCAAGTGCTATCAGGAATGCAACCCATGTCAGGGACAGCAGGCAGAAATAGAGGCATTTAGCCAGTAATTAATGGCCAAAGATCTATGTGACAAGAAAAAAAAAAAACTATTAAAATGTGTTTAAAGTTTGTCTTAGCAATATTGTGGTGCTTCAGCATGTTGAAGACAAAATGCATTTGGTTCTTCTTGAGGGCTTTAAATGGAAAGGCTTTCGAAGGAAGCTTTTATGCTTTCACATCAGCTTTATAAAGGCATATTGATTCTTAAACACTCTAATGGAGAAACATGTTACATGCTCATTCTTATAAGAAATAAGAATCATTCTAATTACAGCAGTGGTGCTCAATCTAAAATACGTTGCCATGCTCTAAACTCGTGTGTATTGTTGACTTTCAAGAAAAATCAGCTAATAGGCTTGACAATTGACTCTTGTCAGGGGAGAAAAAAAAGAAAATGTTTTCTGATGTTATTGGACTGGATACATATCACAACCCTTTATAATACATGGTTGAATTTTCATGTTTTGGTAAATAAAATGTCAAAGCTACATACCACTCTTTGGAGATGAAATTATATTTCTGCTATGTTGTCATTATTAAATCAATGAGGACACCATTTCACTCTTAAACAGCCCAAACCAGTAACAGGGAGATATCCCAATTTTCCAGAACTACAACTGATACTGGTATTCAGTATGATTCCTCAGCCAGCAACCCCCCCTTAAAGATCTGAACTGCAGGGATCTGTGCTCTGGTGGCTGGAAGGTCGAGCTCAGACATAAAAATGTCTAGCTCTTCTTTCCTTTGAGTCTCTCTCACAAGTCTGTGCTTGTGCTACAGTTTCAAACGTGATTTTTTGGTATTGCAACACTTCTGTGAGATGTCTAATTGCACAGAGAAGAAGTGCTGAGACTTGGTTATTAAGCAAGTTACCAGTTTTTCCCAGCGAGTTTTTATGGCCGCTGGTGCATATGCATGCGCGTGCGTGGTGAAGCAACGTGTCCGTGGAGCAGGAAGCCTTGGAACAGAACTGCAAGAATGGCAACCAGTAAAACGGGTCGAGGCAGACCCATTTCCCATTGGCCTTGACCCACAGAAAGCTGCAGGGAAGGACTGCTGCAGAGCTCTGCAGACTCCTTTGGAGTATCTCTCTGTAGTATAGTGGAAATATCCATCCAATCAGTGTTAATTAATTGCCTTTTTGGCAATGACACCTGCACCATCTCTTACTGTTGCCAAACAGCACTGTCATACTCCTTGCTGTCTTTCCACTTCAAGGCATGCAGTGTTTCTTTTCTAACTTTTTCAGTGGATCCCTTCCAGATAGTTTGGTTGTGGCTTAACAAAGGGGATGTGGTTTTGGATTATGGATTCTAAGCAAAGCCGTGAGTAATTTAACTTAAATTCCGTAACTGGCCTCTGGAGAATGATGGCATATGGAATGAATTGCCAGCGAGGTGTTACTAGAATAATAAGCTATTCCCACCTGAATACTTGTGTTTTAATTTGTCTGTGTGATCAAGATGAGGCCTGTGTGATCTGATTAGGCAAAATCGTTTCCGTGACTGATAAACAGGATAAGTTAATAAGCCTTGATGATAATTTCTCTTGCAGGTACGCTGGGATTCTTCTTGGGATCACAAATTCTTTTGCTACCATCCCCGGAATGGTGGGGCCAGTTATTGCCAAGAGCCTTACTCATAATGTAAGTCCGTTTACTTTTTTTTTTCAGTTACTATATTTTTTATCTCTATTGAATGTCAGTTCTGTCTTCTGAAGTCTGTAGTTATTAAATGGAATCTCGGATATATGTGCAAGTTCTGTTACTGTGAACAGCTTAACCTTGATCAGAAAAATAAAGATACAGTCAAAGACCTGTGTGGGGCTTTAAAATTTAGTGATTCAGCCCTTACATTCTCTTGGAATAAAATGTACATTTTTATGGCATTATGGATTCATAGTAGGTTAAAACCAACCAGACAAGACAGTTGTGGTATTATTGTAGCAAAGTAAGACAAGCTCTTACTTGTTTTCTAAAATTGTTCTCATGTGGGGTTCTGAGCTGTAAGGTCAGCATTTGTCAGATGAACCAGAAACTAGATTCAAACGTGCAGTTTTATAATGCACCCCTTTGTATTGACATTGCATGATCCGGATGTTCTAAGCAGTGTTATTCTTGCACCTAAATTGGGCAGTGTTGGATCTGACCTCCAAGATGACTTAGTCAGACAAAGGGTCATTTGAAGCAGAAAAAGGGAGAGAGAAGTTGATTACTTTTTTTTAAAAAAAGAACAATATGAATTATTCTAAAATCATCTAAGAAAAGAAGGTGTGCAGACTAAGTTCATTGATACAGCTGAACTTTTGGAGTTGGTAATCACTCCAATCATTTCCTTAAAAATAACAAAAATGCTAGTTAATGCATGAATCCAAATAAATTAAGTTCTTCCAAACTCTTAACGAGTGGTGTCGATTTTTTATTATTAATATTTTGGTAGGTTGGGGCTTTTGGAGGATGGATTGGTTTTGGTTTTTTCCCCTCATCCTAATGTACTCTCCTGGTGTAGTTTGTTCTTGTAGTAAGGTCATCTACAGGTTTGGTACAGTACACAACTGTAATTTAAAAATTAAAAAATTAAATAAAAATTGTCCTTAACACATATATATGCATTTCTTCTTTATTAAAAAGAACAGTTGCTATTCTGTGCTACCTGGTTTGGGTATAACTAACATATGTCTAAAAAACTAGAGTACTAGAAGAGAAGCATTGTAGTCATTTACTGATTAGCTTAGAGGACTCCAGCTCTTGGATGATCTGACCAGAAAACAAGGTAGTGTTCCCCTTATGGTAATGTTCTCTGTGAGTTTGCATAGCCTTCATGCAAATGTGGATTTAGATCTGAAGGCTGTGCATCTCAGATGATAAACTATTCCAGATAGTCCTATCAGAATTAGACTATGTAAGCTGTTTTGTTAAACTGCAGTTGACTAAAATGATAATTTGTTATGTTTGTAATGCTTTTATGTTGCTATAAAGTCAAGATGCATGGCATTTACGTTTAAATAGGCATGTGCCATCTCATCTGCTTTAAAAATACTTTTTTTTTTTTTCTTGAGCGTGTAGCTGTAAATTGACTGCATCTTTTTTTTTTTTTCTTCCCCAATTTGACAGAACACTGTGGGAGAATGGCAGACAGTTTTCTATATTGCTGCTTCCATTAATCTATTTGGAGCAATTTTCTTTGCATTATTTGCAAGTGGAGAAGTTCAGGACTGGGCAGTCAGTGGCTATCACTTGCATCGAAACTGAAGGAGAAGTTGAAAATACCAAAGCTGTGCTGAATCCCAATGTGCTAGAATTATGTGACCAGAAAAGTGCCTTCCCTACTGATGCCTAGGAACCGTCAAAGCCTTTCAGTTAAAATATTTTATCTGTGTATCTTTTGTACTGAAAATCATTTGCCGTTATGTGTGTGTGCTATTTCCTAACGAGAAACTACTTGGATTAAATAGAATAGATTCATGCTAGAACTTGATATCAAATATATGATCTCAGATGACATTTTAAATCAGTGTGCTAGGATCCATTTCCTTCCAGTTTTTAATTAATATTTTCTGAATTAACGTGTAGGCAGATGTTTGCTGATACTGAAATGAGAGGAAAAAGCAAAGTGATTATGTAGCACTGTGAGGAGGAATGGCATGCAAAGAATTGTACACACAGAAAAGCGGTGTTTTGATTTCCATGATGAGATTGATAGTGTTTCGCTGTTTAAAAAGCTAAAAGATTTCTAGTTTTCTACAATCTTTTATAAAGCTTTTATTTTGTCAGTGTTTTAATTATTGTCTAAGAAATGCACACTTGATTTTACTCTATTTTACGCACAAGTCTTCAAATAGAAACATTCCCTGTTTCAAGAATACAGCTTCACAATTGATACAAAGCAATGAGGAAGTGAAATATGCAGTTGTGACTGACTGAATAAGCCACGTGTTACTGTTCTCTGTAGTGCAGGTTTTTTTAAATAGGCCTTATTTTCATTCAGCTGTGCAAAGAAGAAGCAGTGCAACTCTGGTTTAAATCTAGGCAGTGTACAAGAATGATCTAGAAATAGAGGATCTGCATGTTTACTTGAAAATAACTTTCAATTTGGCAGTTCGTTTTTGTCTGTTAAAATCAATGCAGTGGAATTATTTCCTCTTTCACGTAGATATATTTGTCAGCTTGTCATTGTAAATGCAATAGATAAGGCCATTGTAGGGAATAAATGAGGAAAATCAGTTCTCCAGTAGCCTCGTTAGTCAGATAAAAGTAGAATAAAAAGAACCAGTGCAATATCCTGATGCTATTAATCTCCCGTCAGCATAGAATTTGACACTCAAGAGCATCCTTTGCACGACAGGCAATTAAATGCCACACACTAAGATTAAATTAAGTTAATGAAAACAGTGGCCTAGTTAAGAACAAATGGTTGAGTAATCTTGTAGTCACAAAGCAAAATTCCTGTGCCAAAGATTCCTGGATTGGAGCAATTAGGTAAAAAATAAGTAAATGAATAGAAATCACTGGGCTCTGGGTTTTTCATTTACCACCAATGCAAAAGAAAAGCCCAGTACTAACACTGCTCCAGTGGAGCCTACCTTCCTTCATTTCTAGGAAATGGCATCTGCCGCCTCTTTTTAGCTTTAGCCATTTGGTTTTGACCTTCCTTGAAGTGTCATGTTCTCTGATGGTGGAACTGTGTTTAAATCTGTGTTTGTCTGCAGCATTTCCACAATAAACAGTGTGAAGTTCGGATGTAGTAGTTCAGTGAGAGTATGTTAAGGCTATATTGTATCCTTATTGTTTCCACAATAAATGGAATGAGTATTTACGTGTGCATCTGTTGTTGAAAATAACCACCTCCCTGAAGTTAGAATATCATCCTCAAAATATGCTGAACAAGATTGGTGGCTGGAGTAAGGAAGGGTTAATGTTTTCATGAAAAATTGCCTGCTTCAGGAGTTTCTTGTACAGCTTTACAGGTGAGTACTGTCTTCTGCCTGACACTATATTAAAAGCAATAATTTTGATTTCTGTCCACAGGAGTTTATACTTCTTCAGTAACGTTGATTTAAAAATTATAAAAACAACAAAAACAATACTAAATAAACAAAACATTTTGGGGTATAGCTTAATTAATGCTGGCAAAATATTTTCTACTAATCCTTTTGGATGAGCCTTCTGAGCTGCAAAACACACACTGCTGGCTCATGTCGCGTGTTTCATCCACCAGTACTCCTAGCCCTTTCTTTATAGGGCTGCTGATAGTGTTTCTATTATATTATATTACTGTATGCATAGACCTCTCCTTCAGTGTCACCTCTGTTTAGAAATGTTTCCCATGTTATGTATTTTCAAAAGTACTGATGTTTTCAGTGTCTATGTTCATCTCTTGTGACACAGGATCTTGATTAAAACTAGGCAGTTTCTTGTGGTGACTGTTTTTTCCTGAGAACAACATCCATGATTGTTTTTTTTGCTGCATTTTTTTTAACAGATGTACCAAAGTAAGGAGGTGGGCTCTCCATACCATCAAGAAAACTCTAATTTGGATGCCTTCCTGGAATGAGGGAAGTTGTTTCAATAAGCAGATATTCTCCATTTCAAAGCAGGAGTTGAATCACTGCTTTGGGAGCAAGTTTAAGTGTCGCCAGGTACTTTTCAGTGCATTCTCCTCAATGTCTCCTCCTGACACAGTTCTGCTTAAGCATTTCTTGGAGCATTTGGTGCAAAATTCTACCAACATTAGTAACAGAGATGAAATAACACTTAGCAGAATATCCTACAGCATGCGATAAAAGTATTGACCTGTGATCTTAACCATGCTCTTTTACAGTCTGGAAAAGTGCCTCCGTCACTCTTGAAAAGACGAAAGGCCACAAAGTAATTGGTGGTTTGTTTGTTTCTTTTTTTCAATTCCCTGTTTGTGCTAAGGGTACCAACTGTTAGTCATGCCTCTTAAAGTCTGAAGTATTTGCCACCCAAAAAAATAGTTAATTCATGTAGGCTTTTTAAGTGCTAAACTAGTGAAGTTTTATGCAACTTTTCATACTGTATAGGGATCTGTGCACGGTGCTTCCCCAGCTACATGTTCCTCTGTAACTGGTGAGAGCTGTATTTGCTGTGTGAAAGGGTCCTCTTACTTAATATCCTAGCAGTTGAATTCTCCTGTGTTGTATCTTTTTCTGGCTTCTTTTCTCTATCACTTATTTACTTATTTGCCAATTTATTCTCTCTACTTTCTAAGAATGTCTGATTCCATGATAAATGAACTAACCTATAACAAATCTAATATGTTTAGCATTTGCCAGGGAGGAAAGCTTTAGGTAAGGAAGTCTACACATTGCTCAGGTAAGTGAAGGGAAGTTTGAATGGAAAGGCATTGTCTTCTGTTAGGTCAGTTGTAGCTTTTGGGAAAGACAGATATGTTTTTAAGCTTCAAGACTAATGTTGTACCTTGTGAGCGCAATCATTACAACTAAAGCCATACTATAATGTTTTTAAAGCTGTAACAGTAAGGAGTACCTAAAAAGGGTCTCCCATTTCTCCTGTGTATACCTGTGCCTCAAAAAATGCAATGCCTGGTTTTAGTCGTGATGTGAGAGCAATCACAAATCAGTCAAAAAAAAAAAAATCAGTCAAAATAAGTAAGTCAAAATGATTCTAATAGTTGTTAGCTGGGCAAATCATATTTTGAGACCTGTCAGGAAAGATGCTATTCATACAAGGGCACTGGCCCAAATTACACTGAAGAAAATATGTCTGACTTAAAGCTAAGGATGTAATTTGCAATGAACAATTTGGTACGGATGTATTTTGCTACTGCTGTGCCCACTGAAAAGAAACCACCACACTAACAGTATTATATACCAACAGTGAAGTAGATAATCCTGAAGACACAAAGAGGATCTTGTGGGAATAAGTACTTACAGAGTAGTTGGTTAGCCTCATGTCAGTCTCTTTTCTGTAAAGAAATATAATGATCCATTTACTTAAAAATGCATTTGTTTAATCCAAATCAGAGCGTGCTAAAGTCAAATCCAAGTTTTACAGATTTGTCTACTTCATGCTTCATTTGCATAACAGTTATTAATATTTATGCTGTTGTGTGTTTAGTAATCCTGAAAAATAGCCTAAGAAAGGATTCACTTATTTCTGCTTTCCGTGATGGTGTACAAAGTCTGTTGCAGAAGTAATTCTTGCCATGTTTAATGTGAGAGTAAAACAATGACTTATGTTTATTTGAATTTCTTGCCCTGCACCCTGCAGAGTTGCATGTAGCCTCAGTAACTGGTTTAGTTCAGGGTGTTAGTTATTAACATTTTGTAAGATTCACATAGCCAGAAAAGGAACTGCAAGAAGACACCAGCAATTATTTAAATCCTAGTGGCATAGCAAATGGGAGTGGGGGTGGGAGACACAAAGACATACCAGAGGATTAAAAAAAGTGCTGGCTGGAGTGAGGAAACTGGAGACCCTCCCAATTAAATCACCATTGCAACCTTTCCTTTACCCTGCAGCATAAAATTTTTCCTCTGCTGCCATAATGGTGGTGGGTCATACATTCTAAACTAGAACTATTTATGCATGAATCTACTCCTCAACACAGAAATTAATTTTATCAGCTTTCAATTGTGTAAAACTGTTGATCTGATGTAATCTTGGTGATCTCTGACAAGCTCAAACAAACATCTGGCCAATATAGTTTTCAAGAGTCATAACTCAATTGAGTGAAAATTGTTTCTTCAGGGAAAAAAATAAGTTATTTCCACATGAAAATTTAACAGTTTGGCTATATTGGTTAGGCAAGACTGTTCTGAAAGAGCTTCTCATACTTTTGAGCAGCAATTTTCTTTAAAGTTTTAAAATAAAACTGCTGATCTGATTTTTGTTGCTTCTCAGTAGCATGCTTAATAAAATTATCTGTTGGCTGAGTTCAGGCCTGGATCTGACACAAAACATGAAAACTCAGCAAAGTGATTAAAAAGAAGATTCAGGCACTGATAGGCATTTTCAAGTGAATGCAGGTTGACTTCAGAATAATGGTAATTTTGCTGTTACTGCAACGTAATCTGTTCCTGGTTACAAAACATTGCACGAGAAGGTGCTTGGGAGTTGCCCAAGGCATAGCAGTAGACATAAATGTAGGTTATTAAGCCAAAATTTTGTTTGTCTTCTCCTCCCATTGAAAGATAGCAATTTGCTATAGAGTAGAGCTGTGTGAAGAGAGATAATAGCTTTTCATAAAGCATTGTAAAACTTGGAAGAAAATCTCATGAAAGGATTTTTTTATTATTTGTTTTGTGGCACACAAAAATTTCCGTACGGGTACTTCAGAATAGAAAAATATATATTATAATCTGTTCTTTTCCTAAATTGAATTCAAATGTAGAAAATGTATTCTGCTCAGCCAGACTTGGGTAATATGTTTTCTGGTGGAAAACGTGGTTCTGTTGATGTTTCTCTGACCGCTTCTTCTGCTGATCCATTCCAGCAGTAAGTGACTAATCGCCTTCTGAATCATCTTACTAACTCAGAAAACAGAGACAGAGATTTTTGCCAAAGCCCCATCATTCTCCCACTGCTTTTTGCGTGGCCATCTGGGCTTCAGGGAGAACAAGAAGTGACAAGTGCATTCTGTGTCTACAAGTTTAAACACTATACTGACGGGGGGGGGGGAAAAAGACCTTTCCGTGTATCCTAAAAAAAGGAAATTAAACATGAGTCCTGCAACAACTGATAATCTGTTAGCGTTTTAGGGAAAACACAAGATCCCAGAAATTACAGGTAGCTTTTGTGGCAGTATAAAGAGAATAATTGCTATGGCCATCTTTAAAAGGAAACTGAAATGGAGCAACTTTTGCAGCAGAACTCAAGACCTAATTCTGCCAGTCCCACTGAGCGGTAAGTAGCTGTAATGGCATTATTTAAGCAAAACCACTTCAACTGACTTTTTGAATGAAAAGTAGGGGTGAGGGGAAGGAGGGCATTTCCTTTAATAACACCAAAAAAAGTCTTGTCTTCTGAACAATCTTCACATTGAACTGTATGAAAGTAAAAAAAAAAACATCACCATGTGAAATTCAGTTCTGATTTGACTAACTTATGGTGCTTTCAAATTTGCATGCTATGCATGGTCAGCACGTCTTGCATGCTTGTTTTGTTGAGCTGGGAAGTACACAGTAACTTGAAAGGAAGATGTTGATTTTTACTATCCAGTAGAAAGGAAGCAGTAATGTGTTACTCTATGTAGATAAGATGGAGTCTAAGGCTAATAGCTGTTGTGAAGGAATTAATTATTTACCATAGCCTGATTTGCCCTTGAGTCTATCTCAGTCATTACCTTTGTCATTGCTGACATTCATTTTGCACAGTTAAGATCTGCTTCTGCAGTCAGCTGGCCTCACTGAAGGTGTGAGACTGAAGCTGATGACTTCTGACTATCTGTAACTGGTCCCGTGGTGAGCTGAAGAATCAGTTCATTGGGAATGGTAATGGAAAGGCCTTATTGCTTGTCTTGAGTGTGTTTTTTTTGAGTACAGTCTCTTTCTCTTTTCTTTCAGATTCATAGATGTGCATAATTTGGAGTCTACTTCCCATGCAGTTACTTATGTTAATATTTTCTGCTATGAAAATAGCTTTGCCCAAACTCAAAGGCCCTTGTGTGAAGAGAATGAGAAACCAGGCTACTTGAATTGTCAATATATAGCTGACAGTTGCTAGGCATCTCTGCATGGTGTTGAAAGGAGAGAGAAGAGGCAAATACGAGATGTTAATAGCAGTAGAGAGGGATCAGATTGTAGAAGAATATCCGCACAGGGATAGTGATGT